CCTTTGACGATATCTCTCCTCTTTCCTCCCATGCCTTTCTCTCCCTTTTCCTTACGATCGTTATCGCGATATTTATACGGTGAATTAAGATATTCGCCGGAATCGCACGAGCGACTAAGTGGCCGACGACGACACTGTTTATCTTCTAAGTAGGCGAGTGAAGTGATTTAAACGAGAATCCGGTTGTGTGAACAATTCCGTTCATCGATTTATATGTTCGAATTTCTTTAATTTTTAACATATCGGATTCTCTCACTTCCTGTATTGTTCGAGAGTCTTCGTCCGTTAATAACTATCTTTTTACGTGCCCACCAAGCGCGGGTGGAATGTGGATTATGACGTCAGAAGCGCGGAGATTCGCACCGACGATCATCTCGGACTTGGCGAGTTTTCTCCAGTGTAGGATCGTTTTCCTCTCGTCAACGAAACCACTTTCAAAACTTTATAAAGCGAACGTTCTTCGAAACACTACTTGTAAAACTGAATAATGACGGCAGCTCTTAAAAGATCCCCTCGAGATTCACAACTTCTAAACCACCAGTCTTTGACGTCGCGATGAGAACGAACATTCACTAAGCAACTTTAATTTAAAATAATGAAATACATTCTTATCAAAGCATCAAAAACTTAGTGTAAGAATACTTATTTTATAATAATTTTCCAATTAAATTCCTGTTATGTGCAGTTCTTATCTCTTTACGTGCTGCAATACATTGAACTTTTGACAATTTTAATGAAAGCAAGAACTCCACAAATTTAAACTAATAAAAAATAAACACTCTAAATCTGTAGCAATGAAAATTTTACTGCTAAAAGTGAATAGCAAAGTCATTGCTTTAAGTATGGATTTTCACTGCTTTGAAGTTAGTCTGTCTACTCTTACATAAAGGAGTGGACTATTTCATTCGATTAATCGAAGTGGTTTGAGCATTAAGGCCTTGGCACATAGAAAAACTTAAGACGTAAAACCGTATGGCCGCAGCACAGACTCTTGCATAATGCATAGTGCACACACATACACGGAGAGAATTTTCTTTTAACATTCACCCTGAAAATATGGTGATTGTGTTAGAATACAATATTTTAAAGATTTTTACCATGTAAAATTGATCAAACATATTTTATACTTTATTGTAGTTTTATTAATGAGAATGAGAGAGATTTATATTAAAATTCTTCGAAATACAATGTTGTCCCACGACTGTCATATTTTCAGGGTAAATTCTAAGAAAAAATTCTCTCCGTGTAAGGGAATCAATCAATCGAAATTCTTCTTTTCCATGGAATGAGAGGAAAGGAAAGCTTCTGATTAGTTGATTCGCTTATGCACTATGCGTTATGCGTTATGCAAAAGTCTGTGCTGCGGCCATTACGCAGTAACGAAATCAACATGTTGGATTGATTCGCTATTGCTTACGTATGGTCTTACGGTCGCTATTGTGATTTGTCAATTCGCTTACTGCTTAAGTCTTACGCCTTAAGTTTTTTTATGTGCCATGGCCTTTAGTTGATAATGCATTGCAAGATGCATTGAATTACTGCAAAGAGTGAATTTAGCGACATAGTGCACCGTTTGTCACATGTTTGTCGTTTGTCATGGTCGTTACGGATGAGACGCATCTTGAGGCACATTATGACATAAACATAAGAGACAGAATAAAGTAATTAAAAATAAAATAATAATAATTAAAAATAAGGTTAATAGGTTAATAGATTGCATGCTCTGTTCAAAATCTGTCTCCGTAGACTTTGTTATCTGGATTTGATTTGGTATGACATTATTCTGTCATTATTTTAACTTTTAAATTCACTCCTTTTTATAGGAGTAAATTTTTCACTCTAATTATCGAATGGATTTTCAATTCCGATCTTGCAGTAAAATTCACTGGCAGTAATATTGGCGCAATTGCCACTAATGCAAGGTATTGAAATTTCGATTTAATGCAGTGAAATTTCATTGCTACAGATTTAGAGTGAATATAAAATAATCGCACTAATAACTGCGTTGACTCCCACATATTTTTTATTAGTTTCGACAACTTGTTATTATAATCAGTACATCTAATTAGAGCCTAAATAAATGTAATATGATAATTCTGTAGATTGGAAACAAAGAAAAAGTAGAGATATGATCGTCGAAGTCACTGACTTTACAAGATAATTGGTATCGGTAGTCGACTATCGTGTCTCAACTTCCGTTTGAAACGGCGATAAGAAAGAATACGTGAATATTATTTGTGATTCTCGCTACGTTCACACGAATAACTTCTACCTCGGGGAGAGGATCACTCTGGTTTCATAAAGTCTTATAAAATGCGGTAGAACGACGAAATATGATAGCGGTCGTGACTGCTACTGTCCGAGATCCGACGTTGTAACTGCAATTTATAAATTTCCGTTTCTACCATAGATACAGAAACGATACGTTGAAGTAATTGTTAACTTACGGAGTTTATGGCGTCTCTCGTGAGATTATTTTATCGAATAAAAAAAATCTCTCTTCAAACGACCATTCTCTCACGGACTTTGAGTTCCAAGAACTATCCGCGCAATTTTCCTTGTTGCTAACGTCGTAATCCGAAATGGATGTTGTAAGTATATGGTACTGTCAGAGTAAAGCGCGCGAGACCGTGTAGAAAAACGAAAGGTCGATGACGAAGGGCGGCGAGAGAAGAAGAGAGGAGGAGTAAATGAGAGAAACGAATCAAACTCCTGACGTCTCGAGTCTACGTGATTCGAAATCAAGCCATTAAAGTACCTTCTCTTTAGAGCCGACTTTTTCTTAACATTAACTTAAGCAGCATTGACGATCTTTCTTGTCGTTACAAACGGAATAGAAGATAAATTTCTCGGCAATTAAATTGCAGATGTATAAATGTGTATAACTAGAATTATTTCAAATTATTTGAGTTAATTTTGGATTGTATTCCCCATAGAATTGAGCTGAAATAAATTTATACCTTGAGACATAATTACAAGGTTACTTAATGAAAATTAAAAGATAGTAAGGGGGAGAAGATTATTTTGATGCTGACGAAGATCATTGCTAAGGAAGATTATCCTCGGAACATGTCAAAGAGCACATCTTGTCTTTAATAACCTTTTAGAATCACTTTGTATGCAAATTAGTCTAATAAAACTTAAGCTCTCAATTCGTCCAAGAATCTTGCATGGGGTCCAAAATTATACTCTACTTCAAAATTACTTGGTTCAAAATTAGATTTTACCAAAAATAGAAGCAAATATGTTAAAATTTCCCATTTAACTTACTGTTTTCTGCTTTTTTTAACGGTAAGGAATGATGATTAAATCTTAAATATGAAATAGAGGCGATAAAATCTCGAATGTGAAATAGATGACAAAATCTCAAATATGTTATTTACGTGTAAGTTGCGTAGTTCTAATTAGCAAGCACACTTGAGCGTTTTTGATGGCAAGCCAAAGAGAGAGAATCAACTTGATTTACTATAATTACGTACAGTACTTTGAGATAGAGACGCATTCATGCGTGATGAAGATATTATGGGCAAGTATTTTCAATATTGCAACAACTTGCGCAACTACGTATGTGTGATAACATGTTGCTGATAACCCAGATTGTTTTTCACGAAAACTCAAAATTGAATTTCTCTCTTATCTTTTCCGGAAAGTCGTAATTTTTCGCGATAGAATCGCACGTATTCGACAAATATAAATGCTACAAAAACAAAGCTTTATTGCGGCAATTATATAGGCGCGCTTTTAAATTTCAACAACAGGCATATCTTAGTTAGTTAACTAGATCCCTACTTGAGATATGTACAATAATACGGTGCAGTTGCACGTTTTGCTTATGTGAAATATGATAATTATATTGTTCAGGTACGTCGAGACGCACAATGAGAATTATTACGAAATAACCTGAATTCCAAGAATTATTAACATACATTGGAAATAATTTGATATTCATTAGTAATTTTGATATCATTTTCAATGTATAACGTATTTCTATGGTTACCTGTGACTAACAATTTTAGCCGCAGTATTTAATTAAAATCATTTGATAGCGACATTAAACTATTATAATTAATTACAATCCTATTGATCATATATAATTAGTTATAATTAATTGCATCACTAGATTTATATTTTTTTTAATTTAATTGTATTTTTTATTCAACTGTGTTTTTTATCCAATTACGTTTTTCATCCAACGTTGAATGTTTGTAAAGAATATCCGCTTTTATATTTTAATCAAATTATCATTTACTTTTTATTATTTGATTATACAGAATTAATTAAAGACAACAACGAATTTTCGTTTTTATTCAAGTATCGTTTATTTGAAGTTATTAAGAGAATATTTAACTGCAAAATGCGCAGTTAGAAAAGCTGTAGAAGTTACATTGAAGTGCATGTGGCTCGACGTTACCATATTTAACTTGTGAATTAGTTTAGAACTCTTGTATTTTTATGTAACCTTAATTAGCGGATACACTTAAATATCCTCTCAAGCATCAACCTATGCAAATTTACCCAATTAAATTAACTGTATACGCGTATATATATATATATATGATTACGTACTCTATATTGCACTTGAACGTAGAAAGAAATAAAAAAGAAATGTGATATAGAAAGAAATGAAAGAGATGCACACGATATATATTTGCGATATTGGAAATACTATATTTTACATATCTTAAATTTTCTGCGCTTTTAAAATCTATTTACATATTAAATTTATTAAAGTAGTGACAGTTTCATCCATCACTTTTCGATTCTTCATAGCAACAAATCGAAATTGCTCAATGCTAAACATTACGTTTCAACTTCTGTTCGACAGATAATTACGGCGTGTGACGACGACGCAATTATGAAGGCCCAAATATGCTTCGTTTTCAACGAGAAGATATTGTGAAGATATCTTGAAGGCGTCAGCCGCGATCAGCCTTACTTGTTGTATACGCAATCTTTGCGGAAGCTCGCGCAACCTCGAGACTTCTGATTCTTCTGGGAAAGGAAACACCCCTGCGAGTGTTTGAAACCGGGTTACCCGGAGCCCGTGCGGGGGAGGGAGAATCTGAGAAGGTTCACGCGAGCCTGGACGAACGTAGACGATCGATCGATTACCTCCTTGGAGGAAGAGGAAAAGGCGGAAGAGGAGAATAAGAGCGCGGAATAACCCAGAGTGTTTTTCTCGTAGGGGAATCGCGTCGCTTTTAATCCGCAGGTACAGCAGAAGATTTGCGTGTCGAGTAGTAATCATTAAAAATAGAACGAAATATAAATTCTATCCGGATTTTATATCCTTTTGAGTTAATTGGGTAGCACTTTAGATATCCAGTTTTAACGAGTTTTGGATTCAGATAAAAAAAAGAAAAAGAACTTTTTATTTGGATATATACTTTATTATTACCCCCGCAAATATTGGAAAGCAGAAGAGAATAGCACTGTACATTCCTGACACTACGAATTGCTTAAATATTTAATTCTAACATAGCACTCCCGTGGGTTAAAAGGGTCAATTACTACAGAACTCACAAACATTTGTTATAGCTTATTTGTTCTTTTTTTTCGTACGAATGCTTTTATTACACATTCCTTTTTATAACTGATCTCAATAAATGGCTAATATTTTAGTTTGCTGTTTCTTTTTTTTTTTTACATTATGAGTTAAAGATGGTACCGAGATGAAGCGTTATAGTTTATCGCATGTAATTTCGAGTAGCGTTTCTCTCCTTTAAACTGAATAGGGAATTACGATCCGTTTTACAGTGTACTAATTATCGCCTTTAAGAAGCCCAAGGAAAAGGTCAAACAATCGAACGCGAGCGAGGCCGTGTGGGCAGGGGAGGAAAAAGTGAACGAAGGAGAATAGGGACAAGCTCGCAGGGTCGACCATCAATCGTCGATCAATCAAAGAAAACGAAAGTGGTGGTCGGAGCGGCACGTGGGGATAAGGTCGGGAACGTTCAACGGGAGGCTTTCAAACGCGCGGTGTTCAATGAGACAAGGAGATGAAGACGAGGAAGTCGCTGCTGCCGATCGTTCTGTTGTGCGTGACGATGGTGGACCTGGCGCTCTGCCAGGAGAAAAGGTGGCCGAAAGCGGGTACAAAGTACCGAGATAAAAGTGCCAAGGGCAAGTACGATCCTGATTACGCGGACAGGACCAGGGAAGAGGACTCCGAGGAGGAGTTTTACTATGATCGAAGCTCAGCGGCTACTGGCTACTACGAGTCTGGATCTCTCGACGCCTTGGCCGCTTACAGGAATAACAGAGCGATCGATACCTCCAGGTATGTTATTGTGATATTCAGAGATATATGAATTTGATGTTCTTTTTGATATTTTTGGTATTTCTAGATATGTATATATATATATATATTATATAATATAAAGATACTAAATTTGATATTCCTATAAATTTAGTATGTCAAATACTTAAATATATTATTGAATACATTTATTTGTTACTTTTTTTTATATTTTATATCTCTATCGAAAAACATCCTTTTAAATATAACATACACAGGTTTATTATTATAGAATGTTGATCAAAAATTTTAGAAAAGAGTCGAGCTTATTGGAAAATCGATTGAATAAACCGTTTTACTTATGGACGAATTACTTGATTTTTGTGTAAACTGAACTTTTGCTCACGTTTACCCAGTATATCAGCAAATTCTTTCCGTAATTGGAGAGGTACGTGATATCCGTCCGCAAATTTTCGAAACGCGGAAGGCGTCCACGTGTGCGGAAATTGCTGATTGCGTCCTTGAAACGTTTTAAACGGTGAACTTTAGGTATAGCTGCTACCGCGCTGACATTTCGAATATAAGTACTAAAGTGGCTTTATTTTCACCAATTAGTCCCCTCAAACTGATTATCACAAGTATCGCCGGCCAAGATTGCAACGTCTCTACACACCGTCGCTGTTAAAATTTCCTTTAATCTTGTTAGAGTTATTAGGGGCTTTTAATTACCTTTTGCTAATTTTACTTTGCCTAACGAATAATTCATGATACTGTGTACAAAGGGTATAATTTAAATGCAAGTGGTCCTTTTAATTCTGCGAAATGTATTTCTATTTTCCGAATGAGAAGACACTTGAATGCTAAATGAAAAATAAATTTCGTTTTATTATCGTTAAATGAAGATTGTGATTTGTATCGAATCAATTAATGATTAGAGTCATTGAAAAAGAAATTATCGGTTTTTTACGATAATTCCTGGAAACATTGCTATGGAATATCTTGACGATTTGAGGCTGTTTGAATTTTTGAAAGCGTGAAATGTTTGTGAAAAAAGAAAAACCGAAAAGAGGATCGATAAATTTGTTCGTGTTAACAAACTCATTTAAATTCCTTAGAAAAACACTTGAAAGCTGTCTCAACTTTCTGTCAACTGGAAGAATTCTGTCAACATTTGAATGGTAAAACAAATTAATGAAAAACTGAATTGTTTCAGATCTACGGATATCGGGTCGAAAAACAGTCAGCAGTCTAGTCAATCGTCGAATCTGCCTAAATCGCATACGAAATCGAGTGAAGAGGTAGGACGAGAGAAAGGACGAAGGCACAAGAATATGACAATTGGAGACGGTATCTGTCAAAGCATAGATATCAGAAACAGTGTTGACACTTTCGCGGTATTAAAAGACTGCCGTGTGATCGAGGGCTTTCTGCAAATCGTATTGATCGAAAACAACACCGAGGCGGATTTCGAGAACGTTAGCTTCCCGCAGCTGAGAGAGATCACCGGTTATTTTCTTTTATATCGCGTGGAAGGTCTGAGATCTCTCACCAAACTCTTCCCAAATCTCGAAGTCATCAGAGGCGATATACTTCTCACGGACTACGCTTTCATGATTTATGAAATGAAGAGCATGCAGGAGGTAAAAATCGTGTAGACTTTTCTGCTCGACTTTTTATTTCTTCATCTTTTTATTCTTATCTTCGTAACCTTGTCTTTACGCTGTTTTCTCGAATAATAAAATTATTCCAAGTGGAATTTTAATTGCGTCATAACGGTCCGCGCATAACTTTAACGTTATCTTAAAGACGCCAACTTTCATCTAAGTAGTAAAAATGGATTTAAGATTGTTGTATTTATTGAGTCGTTCAATATAAAGAAAAATTATAAAAGATCTAGTAGAAAGATCAGGAGCTTTTTATGAGGTCGTCGAATGTAATGTCAACATGTTAAAATAAATAGTATTATACGAGCACAGCTTTCGTATCGTGCGAACGCTACAAAGGATTTTTATTCGCATACACATGACGGTCGTCACGTACATTCTATATCTCAATCGTTCATTCCCACGCCGAATCAAGTCGAGTCTTGGTTTGAAAGTATATAGCCCGGTATGCTGCCTAGGGCTCGGTCAAATGTTCAGGTCAAGTGATATTAATCAGTCAATCAAATTAACCAGCCATTCGACCTTTGACTCGTAATTCCACAACTAATCCCTGCGGAACTTTTTTTCGCAGATCGGCCTCATCAACCTGACAAAGATATCCCGGGGTGGCGTGCGCATAGAGAAGAATCCCGCTCTCTGTTTTACAAATACCATGAATTGGAGCCTTATCGTTTCGGCCGGCGAGAACTTCATCAAAGATAACGCAAACGAAGCGAGTTGCCCGCATGTGAAAGGTGATAGATACAAGTCTTAATTAGAATATCAATATTTTTCCAAATATAAAGATTTTCAATAATAAAGATTTAAAGTGTGCAACTAAATGTGTTATTTCTCAGAGAATTAAAAGGGTAATTGCAATGCAAAAAATAATATTCCTTTAAAAATAATATTTCGCAGGATGCGCTAAATGTCCTGGCAGTTATTGCTGGACTCTCAAAAATTGTCAAAAGTTAGAGAGACCAAGGTGTCATGAACAATGTCTCGGGGAATGTTACGGTCCAAGTGATACTGAATGTTACGTCTGTAAGCATTATCGACACGAGGGAAGATGCATTGAAAGCTGTCCTCTAAATTTGTGAGTAACTTTTGTGAAAATGCAAATAACGTAAAACAAGAAATTAAATTTTTACTGCGCTTCTCTTACCTTGCATATAAATACCACATGAATAATGAAGGAGCTGTGTAATTTAAAAACTAAAATTGCTTGATTTAAAGTATGTAAATTATTTCAAGAAAATTACCAATTTTTATTGAGATTTTAATAAGCTGAAATTCTATCTTTTTTCTTAGCAAACATTTACTTGATAGGATCGCTATTTTTACAATTTTTCTTCATATTTAGTTTTAAACCTGGTATATATTAAAAAATTGTGTTAAAGTAAGTTTGATTTAAAATTGTGTTAAAGTAAGTTTGATTTAAAATTGAAGTTTTCGAAACATTTAATGCTGAAAATTAAAGAATTTTGGAAAGAGGTGACACGCGCTGAACAAAATTTTAAATTCAAACGAGAGGCCTTACATAAAATATCTCGAAGTTTGATATTATACATTGTGTTTAGATACGGCGTATTAAATTTACGGGGCATAATGTTTGGCGATAAACATGCGACATTTTATCTGTAGGAAGATCTCCTATTTTGCTGTAACAACGGTTTTCTGTTCACAGATACGCATATCTCTCGAGACGGTGCATCAGCAAGGACGAATGCCAAAACATGAATCATATCAGAAGATTTTCTAAATTGGAAGAGATACAAATATGGCGACCTTTTAATAATTCCTGTGTCACTCAATGTCCTGATGGTTTTGAGGATTACATTGATGACAAAAATGTACGTTAGCTTCATTGCATGAAATATGCGTTACATATATATCCATATCTTTGTTATTGACTATTTTTCTTAATTTTTTTATTTTGTATTACAGGTAACGAATTGTCGAATTTGCAAAGGACAGTGCCGTAAAATCGCAAAAGGTGCTATTATACGCCATATTTCGGATGCTCAAAGTTTTCGCGGTATAACGGTAGTGAAGGGGGCTCTGGAGTTTCAAATTAGAAATGGTAATCCAAATATAATGAATGAATTGGCGGATGCATTCGGTTTAATCGAGGAGATAACCGAATATTTGAAGATAACACATTCTTTCCCGATCACATCGCTGAACTTCTTCAAGAAGCTGAAAGTGATCAAGGGTGAAAATTTAGACATTAACAACGCGAGTTTCGTGGTTCTGGATAATCCGAATCTCTCCTCCCTCTTCCCGCTATACCAAAAGATAACGATAGAAACCGGCAGGCTGTTCTTTCATTACAATCCCAAGCTGTGTCTCTCTAAGATAGAGCAGTTCGGTAAAATGGTGAATATCACTAACTTCACAGATCTTGAGGTCCAACCAGAGTCAAATGGTGACAAAGTTGCTTGCAATATCGTTAACATAAACATCACAGTGAAAAAGCGAGAGGCGGATCACGTCATTCTGAGTTGGGACAGCTATAAGCCACCAGAAGGCCAACAGCTGCTTAACTATCTGCTAAGTTACATAGAGACCGATAACGAAAATATAACGTACGAGGCGAATGCTTGCGGTAATAACACGTGGCAGATAGTGGATGTTGGTATACCGAGTTGGAATTCAACCGTTTCGAAATATATCACGAACTTAAAACCATATACCAAGTATGCCGCGTACGTGAAAACGTTCACAACAAGGAATAAAAATTCTTCAAGTTCCTTCGTAACTCCAGTGGGTCAGTCGAATATTATTTTTTTCCGAACGAAGAGCGCGATACCTTCGGTGCCGACGAACGTGAGCTCGATCGCAATAAGCGACAGTGAAATTCTACTCAAATGGGGTCCACCAGTGTATTCGAACGGTCCTATAGGCTACTATATGATCTCCAGCACGATTCGACTGGACGATGAGGAACTAATCGCCTCGAGGGATTACTGTGTCGATGCTTTAGTCAACGAAGCAAAGGAGATACACGAAGTGACAATTAAGACGTCGCTGATCACGAATCCTAATTCTTGCTGTTTCAAGGACGAGAAGACTTCTAAGCAATTTGAGATATTCTGCCACAAGAATATGACTATCAGCCATTTATCGCCCGGCTGGAAGGATTACTGCGTTTTTAATGACTACAATTTGCCGGAGAGTAAATTTTATGATGTGACAAACAATTTATCCACTTCAACGCAGGAAGGGCAGAAAATTGCGACAGACGGTTCGGTTAACGCTGGTAGCAGCATCACGAGTAGCCAATTGAATGATGAGATGTACATATACAACGTGAGTGCGCAAAATACTTCATATGTTTTGAAGAACTTGCGCCATTATTCTTTATATATCATCACAATTGCTGCGTGTGGTGTCAAAGATAGCGACGCACCAATGTGCTCAACAATTCAATATGCGAACGTCCGGACGTTGAAACGACCAAACGCGGATGATGTTCACAACGTGAAGGTCCATGTGACTAACAATACGATAGTCGAAATCATCTGGGAATCAGTCAAGAATCCAAACGCATTCACTGTCTCGTACACCATCGAGTACACAAATATGGACGTAAAGGATGCGAAAAAGAGTACCGAGTGCAAACCGTACATTGGGCACAGGGAAAAATATATCCATCATTACATCAATAACCTCAGTCCGGGTAGATATAGCCTGAGAATGCGTTCCACGTCGCTAGCGGGTGACGGCTTCTTCACCAATACAATCTACTTCTCAGTCGGTTTATCGGATAACAGTCGAATAATTATGGCAACGTTGTTGACTCTAGCTGTGTTAATCATCACTATGATCGCGATAATATTCCTCATTAGGAGCCACCAGAAGAAGAGGACACAGGAGCGATTGATAGCCAGCGTGAATCCAGACTATATCGAGACCAAGTATGTCGTTGATAGCTGGGAAGTACCTAGAGAGAACGTCGAGATTTTGGAGGAGCTTGGTTTGGGTAATTTCGGCATGGTGTATCGAGGATACTTGGATGGCACCGGACAAGTAGCCATTAAAACGATCTCTGAAACCGCCAGCCAACGAGAAAAGAACGAGTTCCTGAACGAGGCCTCGGTCATGAAGAACTTTTCGACATGGCATATCATCAAGTTGCTAGGCGTAGTCTCCATGGGCAATCCGCCATTCGTCATCATGGAGCTCATGGAGAATGGCGATCTAAAGACGTACCTGCGTAGGATACGCGACACTCAGATGGTGCCGAATGCGTCCAGGATAATGAGAATGGCCGCGGAAATCGCCGACGGTATGGCCTACCTGGAATCAAAGAAATTCGTGCACCGCGATCTGGCCGCCCGCAATTGTATGGTGTCCAAAGACTTGGTCTGCAAGATCGGCGACTTTGGCATGGCGAGAGATATCTACGAGACCGATTACTATAAGATCGGCAAAAAGGGTCTATTGCCGATACGCTGGATGGCACCAGAGAATCTTTCCGATGGTGTATTCACATCCGATTCGGATGTGTGGTCATTTGGTGTCGTGCTTTACGAGATACTCACTCTCGCCGAGATACCGTATCAAGGTTTCTCGAACGAGGAGGTGTTGCATCACGTGTTACGCAAAGGCGTGCTGAACATACCGCGGAACTGTCCCGAAACCATACAGAAGCTCATGGAGAAGTGCTTCAAGTGGCGGCCCAGCGAACGCCCAACCTTCATGGAGATTGTTTCTGAGCTGGAACCGTTCCTGGGCCAGGACTTTTGCGAGAAGTCGTTTTACCACTCCGACGAGGGCATCGAAATACGTAGCCTCGGCATCAAGAAGGTCTATCACAATGCCGCACCGATTCGATTTCATTGGGGCCACGAGACCGCGAGGTGGGTGAAGGACTTCGAGGACAACGTGACATTGCTCGATCAGATGAAGGCGGGTACCAGCCGAGGACGGATCTTCAAGAACGGCTTCCAGCACTTCGGTAATGTAACGAACTTCGAAGATGTTCCGCTCGATCGATGAGATTAGTCGGTATACCGTTGAGCGGGAAAACTCAGCGGAATGAGATGTAACTGCTTGAAACCGTCTTTGAGATCATAAAATCCGCGGAAGGACATGTAGATATTAACGTACAAACAATACTCAGGGCAATACGCGAGTGGTCTGACGAGGCTGTCGGACGAAAATATGTAAAGATGTTACCAAGTCGCTCGCACGCTCGTTCGCTCACTTGCTCGCTCGCTCGCTCGCTTGTTCGTTCATTCATTTGTTCGTTCGCTGGCGTGGCGACAAGTGTTTCGTGTCCTTCTCTTGTTGCGGATTAAACGTAATCAGATCTTGACGGTGAATAGCAATGCAGAGAGAAGACTTCGCTGCGCGCACCGTTGCGACGGTGTATGGAAAAGATGGTGTTCGTAATAGAAGCTAAGCTATTGAATAATTAGGTAAATAAACGTAGGCGCGTAGTGTTTCATAATCGAAAGCCGTGGCTTTATAGATCCGTATTTTTTTTTTTTTTTTTTTTTTATTTCTTTGTCTTTCGTACGGGCATATAAGTTAGTCCTGAAGCAACTATTCTCGAATCTTGCTCGAGCTTTAACAATATTTACAAAATCACAAGATTGACAAAAATTTAATTTTTTTCACTTTCGATGTTAGATAATCCTGATAAAAAAAATTAGAATTTTTTCCTCTTTAATTGATAAAAAAAAATATCGTTAAAAACGTTATTTTTAGTCAAGTTTCCGCATTTACTTTTGTTATTTAATTGACGTAAAAAAATTCAAACTAAAATACATACATTTAAAATCATACGACATTAATCATATATTGCTAGTCTTTTCGGGAAAGTTTATAAGAGACGTCGTTTCGTATTATTTCGAATTCGGGAAATATTGTTTCAGGATCATTCAAGACATACAGCGGAAGAATGATTTCTATAAACCAGAGTTCCTTGTCACATGTGTACACATACCTGTAGCACGATATGTTACAGCGTAATCTCAAGGTTGTAAATAATTAACTCTAACTCGCAGTTCATATATGGTAAGTTAAAATAGAACTGGATGCAATATACGCCGCGCATAGTCCTATATTACGTAATAATTTATATTGAGAGAGAAAGATACATGAGAGAGAGAGAGTGTATATGTGTGTGTTGTGTGTTTTAAAAAAGACAAACTTCACCCTCGCATGTAAATAAAGTCATAAGTCTCTTTTTCAAGAGTTGCGGGTACCTCGTAGGTAAATTATTGCAATAAGAGCGTGTCAACAATCCACGATCCACAATTTTCACAATAAAGTAAACGTGACAGATAAGAAAGGGAGAAGACTAATGGGCGCAAATTAGGGGCCTACCAGTCTGATCACGTTTCAGTTTCCTGCACAATACAGAATTGTAGATTTTGACGTTTCAATCTCGAATTTTACAGATACGGAATCGGGTGACGTAAACAATCAGTAAGTAGTAACGGCAAACTAGATGATATACTATATAAACGCGATACATTGAGATCGCTGGGACGGGTCTTGTCGATCGTCAAGATATTCTACTCTGTATTCCTTGGATAAACGCAATACATTGAGATCGCTGGGACGGGTCTTGTCGATCGTCAAGATATTCTACTCTGTATTCCTTGGTTTTCATCTCTGTATTTTTCCTTTGTTTGCCCTGTTCGTCATAAGTCAATATTACTGCTTCAAGCGTAAAACGCTTTCTATCTAATCGCGCTTTTGTTTGCTTTCGTTCCAATTTAAATCTCGTTACGATTTCGTATCTTAAAATACGAACGATTATCATTTCGAATAGAGATCAGTTAAGACTACGGAATGATGCACTCATTCGCGCGAAACATATCTTGAGATTCGACAAACAAATTTCTCAGCAATGTGTAAGAACGGCAAGCCAAAAATAACGCACGATTCGCAAGTTCATCAAACAAAACTAATATAAATAAATAATACGACTCGAATCAGAGTCGCTTGAATATTGCATTTCAAATTTTTAAAAAAGAAAGATACGACAGTATCTTCCATTGTACGAAAAGCAATTAAAATAATTAAAAGAAAAGTTTAACAAAATTAATATTCATGCTGTGTATCACTATCCATATCGCGAGTATTTCTATTTAGGCGAGAATTTTAATTTTCTTTCTTGCCTTGTAGTATAAATATTTTGAACATTCTCGAGATACAAGATTCGTTGCGATTCGATAGAATTTATCCATTTCTGCAGATTCCGGAGAGAGAAAGAGAAAAAAAGCATGTTGCGTACATAGAAATAATAGAGAAGTGCTTTTGACAAAAGAAAGTATAACACTGAATTTTTTTAAGATATATCATATTCGTGTTGCTAGGTGATTGTATAGTATAAAAGTTATCTCGTTGTCCTAGTAAGAGAGCAGAGCTAATCTTTCGGTATTTCATAGTAATGAAAAGGCGTGCTGCAGAGTAACGAGAGAGTACGAACGAACATACCATTTAGAAAAATCGGTTGAAGGATCGCGTCTCGATGTCAAAGAGAGAAATCATTATTAAAGAGAAAGAGAAAGAAATAAAAAAGGAACACATACGCATCGGTAGCATTGGTTGATGAAAGAGAAAGTGCTAAATGTAAAATATGGTAGATCCAAAGAGTATTTTGATATAATAAAATTCTCGAGACACAAACACGTTTCAGAGGATGTTAGACGTGATCGGTTCAATTTCTGACACAGGTGCGACTCGAGTTGACCACCCAAAAGCGAACTGTATGTCGCGAAACTTCGAAGGGACTCGAATATCCGGGGAATTCCGCAATACGGATTTCTCGCAGATTGAGTTCGCAAATAGGCTTTCATTACCCCTTCGTCCGAGTAATAATGGGTCGCGCGCAGCAGGGACTGAGTGTACAGTAATTAGTAATAACGATCGGCTTAATTGCTACGCGTATCGCAGCGAAGCAACTTGAATCAGTCCTTCCCTGAGTAATCCCGAACTTTGCATTTCAGATTACGGTTTCTCTGAATGTCCAAGTGTTAAAGTCGCGCGAATGATATAATATCAGTTGAATCTCTTTGTCCGGCGTGATAGGCAAATCGGCTTATAGTAGAAAGAGGAGTCGTATAAAACGCGTAGAATTCCGATTTGACGCCGTACTCTACTTGCTCATTTAACTCTTTCACAAAAAAATAGAACGACGTGTACTAAGCGATTTTTATAATGATATAGTAAAATTGAAAACCATTAAAACTAATGCGTATAAACTTATGTTTCTAATTCATAGACTATATCATTTCTGAGATGCGTGCATAAGCGAGATAAGCGTGGAAATAGGAATGAACGGTCCCTGTAATCCGGTACGGAGTTCGTGCAGCTTTTCGCACAAATAAAATTTGCTTATGTAAAAATATAACGTAATCTGCGATTAACATCGCGTTCCTATCTCGAGCAAAGACATGTATTAAAGTTCGCTCTTTGGAAAAGATTCGAATTATCAGAACCGATTATCTACTATTTATATGCTTGTTTCTACATATACTGAGCACGTGTATTGTAAATATATGCAATATATTTATATGTATGTGTATATATTGCAATATATTTATACATATATATTTTTTCGATTTAGCTGCATACGCATCAGGAGAGAAAGCTGCGCGGCATTCACTACACGTATAGCAATACAATTAGCATTTTCGCTACAATAATGCTTCACCACGCATTACAAGAATAGTGGCAAGTACCGTTGACGACGTTAATAAAGTTTAGACGATTGTAAAGTTTAACGTAGTCGTAACGTAGAAGCTCCGCTCTCAATGTTCAATCTCGAGATTTCGTCCGAGTGGCTGGAATAACCCTTAAACGACGGTACGACGCGTTTTCCACACCGTTTAGATGCAACTATGATCATTCTATCACATTTCTCGGTACGAATTATTTATGCTGTATACATATATATATATATATGCCATTTTAAATACTTAAGAGACGTTAACATTTTATCAATACCCTCGTAACAATTATATTCCTACCGCATCGTCACTATAAAAATAATATATATATATAGATATATACATATATATTTAAGTATATATTTATTCCTATTAGAGATTATATTTTATATTATATACGCTCTTAGACTTAGATTCGCTTTTCCTTTGAGATAGCAAAACGCGTCGTACTACATCGTACACACGTACACTCCTAGCACCGACTGCTTTCTCCACGAAGCTCTCACTACTGAAGGCACACCATAATCAGGGTCTTAGGAAATAGGATAGCATTGCATCAGATTCCTACCTTCTTTCCGCAAAGAAAATGCAAGCGTTTTCTCATGATACAGCAGTAATGTTAAAGGAGCGCAAAAATAATTTCGTAGGTGCTATTTTTTTGCCGCTGTTCTTTTTATCGCATGTGCACCTCTACCGATAAGATTAATTCCAGTTGAGATGTTTCGACGGTTTAAAGCTACTTGAATCGATAGAGTCTCGCGGAACCATTTTATCGAATATCAGATTCTCGCAGAACAAGAGACGCGCTGACCTGGAAAAATAATGGTCCGAAGTTCGAAGTTTATTGTTCGCACTTGTGCATTAAGGAAAATTTCTGATTAAAAATGATGAACCATACATTCTGATTATATCAATTAGAATTCTAGTTCATCCGGATCGATTATTATGACTAGAATTTTGATTGATATGATCAGAATCTACTGGTTCATTCATTTTCAATCAGAAACTTTTCTTAGTGCAGGAATATGTGATAGCCGCTTCATACAGCATGAAATATTTATGAATCATTTTACATGAGATAATTATGTTAAACGCATTTTTGAAATACTGCCAAATCGTATGGTAATAGATCAAATGAAAGTTACTTGTGTAAAACATTTTAAAATATTGCATTAAAATATTTCACAAAAATATTGTAAAAATATTTTAAAACAAAGAATATTTCAAAAATTCTCATTTCCTGGACATGTTTATATTTTAGAGAGATTTCTTGAAAAATCTCTGAAATATTTCAATCTTGTGATGAAATATTTTGAAAATATTTCTGAAATATTTCATGCTGTGTGGGTTGATCCAGGCAGGCAGCCAATATTAAAGTTTGGATGAAAAATTACTTGCGAATATAACTAAAATTACTACTTGCGTCCCCTTAATAAGTGCCATGCACGCAATTGTGTGCTAAGTTTCTTTCGGGATTTTTCAAGCTTGT